CGTTGCCATACCACATCAGCACAGAGACGCAACTGTCAGTTCAAATCCAACAGTGATAGCGATAATAGAATTATTAGCAGCAATGGAGAAGATTAGGTAGCAAAGATATGATTCGAAAAGTATAATTCAGTGAGAGAAATTTAGGAGATAGAGATTATGTGGAATTCAGAAGGTTAGAACTCGAGAAAACACAAAGAATGGATGTACCTGCGCCATTGCAAACGATTCTGAGCCATGTCGTTCAAGGTCTCTAACCATTGGTGACTTTCATCTCGTGGACCCCAACCAGATAGCCTACATCTACCAACATGACTTAGTCAGTCACTTGTCAGTGACTTCATGGATTTGTGCCATGTTTTGGTCTGGCCGCCCCTAACTTTCTTCCAACCTACTCCTGCATCACCAATGTATCATCATATTTGCTTAGTTTGTTTGGCGATAACCAAATTATATTGATAGTTGTAATATAGACCATAGGTTTGTTTAAGTGACTCGAAATTATGTAAAATGGAGAGGCGCAAAAGTTATTCTTCCCAAAGGATGGCCTAACGAGATATATATATATATATTCGAATGAGAAAACCATGTTCTTTTGTAGAACAGATAGTTTGTGACTAATCTTATCAATGAAATTGCTCTTTTTTAGATCTAAAACGATGCATTTCAATTATGCGTAACTTACTTATTCGAAAATTTCACACGTGCAAGTAATACTTCGCTGATATACATACATGTTCAAATGAATTTATTAGCCTACGTAAATCCCCTAGTTTCATAAGTTATGATTTAAGACCGTAAAGCAATAGATTGTAAAACTGGTGTGTAGAAAAATTTCCCACCCTCTACTACCTTGACCTGGAGCATGTCAATGGATTGTTTTTGATCATTTCAAGCTGTATACTCACATTGTTGAAACTGCGAACTGATCTTAGCTAGATCATCACTGAAAAACCTGGATAGCTATTTCGTGTGAACTCGAGAATCGAATGTTAGGACCTTCGAGAGCGCGCATGGACGCTTAACCTTCTAGACTGCAGCACCGGCATCCAACGGCATTGATGTATAATTTCAAACAATTCACGATTTCGTGTAACCATTACCCGCCATTTAATGCTTTCAAGTTTTCAATCGTGGCCGACCTAAGATCAGTTCGTGATTTAAACAGTGAAAGTACTCGTTACATATATAAATATATAGTATTTCAACTCGTTTTTTAAATTTTTAACAGGGTTTTTTAAAATAACCAAAATTTTTTAAAACTTCTCCCAGTTTTTCAAAATTTTTTTGAAAAAAACTAAAAAGACTACTATTTTCTTTAATTAAAGTCTTCTTTAGCAATCGCTTTTAAACAATTACGACGTATATGCCTCGAATAACCTTGTAAACAAATCATTTGTGGTTAATTGATTTACAGAATTTAATATATATATAAGATTTGTAAATGATTCATGAAATCCGTTTGCCAGTGATCTTCTTATATACAATGGATTGAATTTTTGAAAATGCAAATTCAATTACATTAAGCATATAACTAACAAACTACTCTATAAGGGGACAAAAACATAAACCTTTACTCCCTTTTCATCAAAAAAATTGTTTGGTAATATTAGAGTGATGGATCTTTCTTTGCATTAATTATATCAAGGATAAAAATGCAATTCTTAAAAAACAATGAATTTTTGATTGCATTTCTCAATCAATTGATCCGAAAAAAGAGTGAATAAACTTATCAGAGTTCATTGAACCAACAAACTGTATCGATCTTCAATAAACTTTTTTTTATAAGATTTTTTCCTTTTTTTCATTTGAAATCAAATTATTTTTCCTATTTATTTCTGACATTTTAAAGATTATAAAAAAACTTTTAAAAACGCGGTGGAAAGTTTTAAAAAAAGATTTTGGTTATTTTAAAAAACGCTGTTAAAAATTTGAAAAAAAACAAGTTTTGAAATACTCATATAATTATTTTCACATGAAATGATTCAAAACTATAATCTGTATTCAAAAATTATTGATGCGACCAAATCAAATAATAGCTATCATAACAATGAATGAACTGTGTGTGTTAAGCCAATTGTTTCATTTGTATTGTGTTACGATTTATATCCTTCCGAATAAATATCATGTTCGTTAAAGAGGTGGTTGGAACATGTGTTACGTATGACTAACCACCGACTGCTGCAACGAGCTATGTTTTGTGGTGTAGGAATAGGTTGGAAGAAAGTTAGGGGAGGTGAGACCAAAACATGGCACAAATCCATGAAGTCACTGACAAGTGACTGACTAAGTCATGTTGGTAGATGTAGGCTACCTGGTTGGGGTCCGCGAGACAATAGTCACCAATGGTTAGAGACCTTGAACGACATGGCTCAGAATCGTTTGTAATGGCGCAGGTTCATCCACTCTTTGTGTTCTCTCGAATTCTAACCTTCTGAATTCCCCTTCATCTTTATCTTTCTCTTTATAACTTTATCTCACTGAATTAAACTTTTCGAATTATATCTTCGCTCCTTAATCTTCTCCAGTACTGCTAATACTTCTATTATTGTTATCACTCTTGGATTTGAACTGACAGTTACGTCTCTGTACGAATGGGGTATAGCAAGCTGAACTGATGTACTTATGTACTAAGTTCTGCGTTGTATCTGTCTGTCTTGACTAGACACATATTCAAAACTTATGAAACTACAAAAAAAAGGCAATCATTTTATATTATCTGAAAATTTACGGTTAAAAATGTATGTTTATGTGTATTATAGATAGGAATTTTTTTCTCACATTCATCGTAAAAGTAACGATTCCTAACTAACCTACATTTGATAACAATATTCATGATAACAATAATAACAAACATGCACATGGTGTGTGGTCAAGTCTAGCGCATAGGAGAAAGCCGCTCATTCATGAACCTTCGACCACACCACCCACCCACCCACACACACACAAACTATGCACTATCCGTAGAGTATCTTGGGTACGCAAACGCTACACGAAATATAGAACAAAATGATATATGAAAAAAAAAACAAGATTTTTATTCTGGAAAAATAACGAACTGAACGCGAATAGTAATAATAATAATAATAATAATAATAATAATAATAATAATAATAATAATAATAATAATAGTAATAATAATAACAAGAGCCACAACAATAGCAGCTAAGAAAGAAAAAAAAACAACTTTGGATTTTGATGATTTAATTTACAAAGTTTTTGAGTTGTTTTTTTTTAATTTTGTTATTGTTATTATTGTTGTTGTTGCTAGTGCTTTTCATTATGAAGCAACAACATTCTACACACACACAGGATGAAAGTGCAATATGGATAAGGGATAATAGAGCATCAAAAAAAAGAACGGAAGATTGAACCAGTGAAATAATTAATGAACATGGAGATAAACAAAGTTGGAGGGAGGGAGTGGGGAAAGAGAAAGAGAACCGATTAACCAATTTACCAACACTACTACTACTACTAGTATTAATACTGTTCAAGCCAAAAACACAATCACGTTAAAAGTATACGGCTAGACACCAGGAATAATTATCATTGTCAAATGGATTATTATTACAAATTAGAACAAAAACATAACTACTACTACTACTACTACTACTACTACTACTAGTGAAGATGAACAATGGAACAGCTGATCAAAATATATATATATATATATATATATAATGGATTGACAAATTACTATTTTAAGAAGTATTATAAACAACCAATTGAAAAGAGAGGGAGAAATGACAAGAGTTCACAGTAAACAAAACAGCGCATTGATTAATTAGTTTAGAACTGATTTGAAAGAGAACAATAATGACTGATGTGATTAATCATGATCAGATATTAATAATCATATGCGTGCGATTGGATTGATACAATCACAATCATGAAATGAGAAGAAGCAGAAGGTATCATGATGCCTGAAGGAGAAATTGTTCTTATTTAGAGAGAGAAAAAAAAATACAGGACACCACAACAGGACGATTTAATCACAAGGTAGAAAGAGTTGAAGAAGTGAGAAAAAAAAAAGGCAAACAAACATGAATAAATTGAATGAATAAGAAGTCAACAAGTAACTAATTAACTAATTAACTAACTAACTAACTAACTAACTAACGAACTACAAAGCAATATATGTAAAAACAAAAGGAATGATTATATAAAATAGGCAATAGATATAGTTATTTAGTTATATTTATAGTACAACAATAGTAATCATATGCAAAAAATGTGAATACTCATCAACTGACCAACCAATGTAACTACTACTACTACTACTACTAACTATTCATAGTAGTAGTAGTAGTAGTCGTGCAGTAATGTTACTTGAAGGTCATAAAGGCGAAGTTATGAAAGAGAAGAGATGTCACAGTCTGTCTCATATTGTTCCAGTGATAATCCATTCTTGTCTTGCTTATATCACATACTCTTTTGTTCAAAATAATTTTTTACAGAACAAAAAATAAAGCCAATAACAAGCAGAGAAGAAGAAGAAGTAGGCGGAGGAAGAGGAGGAGGAGGAAAAAGAATTCAACTGAAATAACTTTGAAATCTATTTATTCATGTGTATTGCTTGTTATACAATACAATGCAATGAAATGTAACTTTGTCAAACAGTTAAACTTAATGATAATGATAAACAAATTAACTATACACATAGAGTTATGAAATGAAATCTACCGGGAAAAAACAATTTGACCTTGTCGTTCACAGCATCTAACTGTGTGTACATGTTTCGGGGCAGAGATGATGAGTGAGAAGTGTATATAGTCTGTTCTTCATTGTTCTGTTTTTATTTTTCAAATAAATTAAAAAAAAATAATCAATAAAATTATTCAACACAACAATAAGTGCGCTTCAATTGTGATAACGAATTGTCTGAAGAATATGAAGAACCCCAACCCGCCCCCACACGTACTCTCTCGCTCTACACTACAATGAAATCAGTTCACTATTGATCAAGCAAACAGGAAAACACAATCCATAATTAATAGAATTTACCAAGGATTGATTGGAATTAAATGAGATGAATTACTGGTTGTTGTATTCGTGACACTACTGGATGATCTGATATTTTTATCATTCAAACAAGAAGACAAAGACGAAGACGAAGACGAAGAGGAACCATTCGACGCAGATGATAATTGCATAGAAGGAAGTGGAAAATGATTGAAAAATGTTTCAGGCAATCTGAATCCATTGAATAATCTAGCAGCTGCTGCTGCTGCTGCTGCGGCATTTATCACAACATCAGAATGAGCTGGAGGAGGAGGAGGCGGTGGCATCGCAGATGTATGATGTGGATGTTGATGTGGATGTTGATGAGGATGAGTTGGTGGCTGTGGATGAGGCACAAAATTAGGATTTATTGATGGCCGAGGAAAAGAATTAGGAAAATTTAATGGAAATGATAAATTATCTAAATTAGGATTTGAAGAATCTGTTCGTCTTCGTTTAAAATCATAACTATTTGTAGTTGCTGTTGTTGTTGTTGTTGATGATGATGATGATGAAAAATTTGTAGGAGCCGAAGATGAAAGCAGATTGGTTGTCGGACGAGTACATGTAGCAGTAGCAGTAGCAGTAGTAGTAGTCGTAGTCGTATTCATAGAAACAGAAGAAGAAGAAGAAGAAGAAGAAGAGGAAGAAAGAGGAAACGAATCGAACGGTTGAGGGATGAATGGAAAATTCAAACCGGGAATAGTAGTTGATCCTGACGATGATGATGACATTAGTGAACAATGATTATTAAGATTATTATTATCTAGCATCGTTGAAGATAATGTTGATGAATTATGCATTGGAAAATCTGTTGATTTAGAACATAAACTAGAATGTTCCACTAATAATGTAGATTGATTCATTTGTAATATTTGTGAATAGATTTTTTGTAATATTGTTAATTGAGCATCTTTACAATCTGTTGGTATATTTGTTAGAAATTCTTTAGAGAAATTATTCATTAATTCATGAAATAAATTTCCCCAAAATGATAGATCAGATGGTAGATTGTTAGGAATTGAAGCACCATTATTATTATTATTATTATTATTATTATTATTATTATTATTGTTAGTACTATTATTGTTCACTGAATGAATAGGATTATGAACATGTGAAGGAGGCCCCAATGATGGTGGATGCATCGATCGATTATTATTATTATTATTATTTATTGATTCAGTAGTAATTTTGTTTGAATTATAATTTACAGATCCACTACTTAGTGAAGAAGAAGAAGGAAAAGGCATAGAGGAATGTACACCTCCCAGGTTTAGACGTTTCACAATAGGACGAATTGGTAATCTAGATGATGTTGACAATATAGGTGGTGGTGGCATCATAACTGGAGACGATTGTAATCCTTGATTAGATGATGATGATTTACAATGTTGAATAAATAAAGCGATACGAATATGTGCATCAGCCCAACGTCCATGAAGCTTGATGAAGTTAGAAAATACATTGAAGTAAACATACAGTATATAAAAAATATCTAATGCTAATATATATACATATATGTATATAACCAGATGTACAAAAGAAACAGTCAGTCAGTCAGTCAGTCACAACGTAGAACTTCGTACCTAAGTACATAAGTTCAGGTTGCCATACCCTATTAGCACAGAGACGTCCATAGTGGCAGAGATAGCAGAAGTATTAGCGGAAAAGGAGAAGATTAGGGTTCGAAGATATTATTCAAGAAGTATAATTCAGTGAGGTAAGTTTAGAAAGAGAAAGGTAGAAGTGATGACAAATTCAGAAGATTAGGATTTGAGAGAACACTAAGTATAGATGCACCTGCGCCATTGCAAACAAGTTTGAGCCATGTCATTCAAGGTCTCTAACCATCTGCTACTATCGTCTCGCTGACCTCAAACAGGTAGTCTACAACTACCATACTGATTCAGTCATGGATTTGTGCCATGTTTTGTCTGGCCGTCCCTGGCTTTCTTCGAGCCTACCCCTACACTAAACAACACCGCTCGTCCAGGTAGTCGGCAGTTCGGCATGCGTAATACAGGTCCCAACCATCTCAACTAATGAAATCTCATGTACTGATTTGCTGTCCCTACCTAGTACTCATTTCCTAACGACAGCATTGCTTACTCGGTTGTCCCAGGATACACGAGCAATGCTTCGAAGACATCTATGATCGAATACTAGTAACCTATGAATATCTTCTACTCTAACTGGCCATGTTTCGCATACATATAGTAGAACGGAGCGAACTGCTGCCTACGCTATAAATGACACAAACTGGCAAAATCGCCTTCTGTATCCGTTCTGAGATTTCGTCAGTCACCAGGCCGTTAACACTGATGAGACTCCCGAGGTAAGTGAAGTGGTCGACACGCTCAACCGCATACAGGAATTTAATAATATACAATAATCTTACATTCGTAACAGACACATTAGTGAAAAACAGGTTAGTGAAGATAGTTGAATTTTATCGTATAAACCACGAATGATTTTTAGTTATACAACTACTACTGTAAGTCTGTACACCCCCCATAACATCTGTTTCGTACTAGTATGTTGCTTATCAAAAATGCTCATTCACGGGAGTTCACCAGGGATCATTACTTCCCTCAAATTAGTAAATATACTAAACAGTATTAAACAGAAGTTTAGAAGGCTTGCCTTTCGATCAAATAACATCAAAGTATAATAAACTAGTGGTCACATGGCAACCTATCAGCAATGTCAAGAATTAGATAGAGGTATGAAAACAGTTATTGTTCAGTGGAAATCTAATGTGAATAAGTAAGCACTTTGCTGGAAGAAAAATCCTTTAAAACATTTCTTTACCTTATCTCTATGAACAGGATGATGAAGTATACCACTATGATTAGTTTTATCCAATCGATCAGGATGATGATAAGCTTTCATAGGGAAATATGATGATTGTGTATATTGTAAATTTGAATTGGAAGGCATAAATGATGAATTCAGTGTGATGTTCACTTTAGGACCAGGAAATGATGATGATGATGATGATGATGACGCAGATGAATCAGGGCCAAGAAATGGTTTTAAAATTTCCGGGGGTATATGTGGCGGTAGCGGTGGTAGAGGTAGAACATTCGGACGATGCATTGATTCTGATGGATGATATTCTGTGTTATGCAATCCTGGGAGAATATTCTGTGCAGACAACGATGACGATGAAATAGGATTGTGTAGATCTCCATTAAACTGGAGAAAAAAGTGATAAAGAGTTAAGAAAATTTGAAATAAGGTATATTCACATTGAATGTAAAAAGTATGGGAAATTTTTTCACCCAATAAATGTATTTCGCTATAATTTTTCAACATAAATATAGCGAACGAATCATATTAGATATCGTGCATATATATATACATTGTGTACCCTCAAAAAGTCGAAAATTCATTAGATCAGTCATGATTGATTGATGACAGAATTCAATAATATTGCCAATGAGACAGATTGATTGATGATTAAAAATGGCGCTTCTATCGAGAATGAATTTGAAGATGGATATTTGATCAATTAAGTTCTCAGTCAAAATATAACGCGAGCTTATCGTCAGACTTACAGATCTTGGATTTGATGTCTGAATGGGATGAGTACGTCAGTGCATACTGTTAGGAAGTCCAAAAAGCACTGTTGCCTCGTGCTTTTTGTAGAGTTTAGTGATTCCTTAACGAAATCCAGTCTATAACTTAAACTAAACTAATTATATTCAATAAACTGTTTCAGAAAAATCAACCTCGTATAAGCGAACATAGATAACAAGTAAAAATCTATCAACCGTTATGTTACAGCGAATAGTATAAGATGGGTTTCAAGAGAATAAATAATTTGTTCTTCCCATACGTTTACCAAAAGATTTACACCTTCATGAATAACACGTTGATGTAGCAAGGTGAAAGACATTATTGTGAATATAAACGCATAGTGGAGCAGATAAAAAAAAACAAACTAATCAACAAGTCCTAAGTAGGATGAAACGCGAATCTTGTATTTGACTAGGTCAGCTAATATCTATTTAATCTTGAAAATTAAAAAAAATTCGCAACCAGATGACACATTAAAATGGTAATCTGAGACTGATCAATATTAGTTTTTTAACAATGACCAACAGTCAGTCAGTCAGTCAGCTACAACGTAGAACTTCGTACGTATGTACATCAGTTCAAGTTGCCATACCACATTAGCATACATATATCGACTTGTCAAATCAAATCCAATAGTCTTAGGGGTAGTAGAAGTATTAGCAGTAATGTAAAAGATTAGGGATTGAAAATATGATTCGACAAGTATATGCCAGTAAAATCAGTTTTTTTAAAATAAAAGAGAAAAAAGAAGAAAACGGTCATAGGGAATCCAGAAGATTAGCATTTGACAGAAGAAAAAGAATGGATGCACTTTGCCCTTGTAAACGATTTTGAGCCAAGTCAACCAGAGTTTCTAACCATCGGTTACCACAGTCTCGTGGACCCCAAACCACGTAGTCTACATCTACCAACATGACTCAGTCCACTAGTCAATGACTTCATGGATTTCTGCCATGTTTTCGTTTGGCCGCCCCTAACTTTCTTCCAACCTATTCCTACACCACAAAATATAGCTCGACGAAGCAGTCAGTGGTTAGGCATACGTAACACATGTCCCAACCACCTCAACTAACAAAGTTCCAATATTTCATCTATTGATTTGCCATCGTTACCTAGTACCCTATTCCTAACCCGTTCATTGCTTACTCGGTTGTCCCAGAATACCTGTGACTGAATACTAGTAACATATGTATCCTTTACTCTTACTGACCATGTTTCACACTCGTATTGTAGGATGGAACGAACTGCTGCACAGTACACTCGTCCTTTGGTTAGCAGACAGATATCTCGCCTACGCCATAAGTGATGTAAGTTTGCAAGAGCCAGTCGAGCCTTCTGTATCCATGTCGAGATTTTGTCAAACACCAAGCCATCAGCACTGATAAGACTACCAAGATAAGTGAAGCGGTCAACACACTCAACTACTTCACTCCCTAACACTAGTTCAGGTGCCGACGCCAGCTAATCTTCAAGCAACATTTTGCATTTCGAGAAGGAGAACCACATCTCGAACATACTTGCATTGTTGCTTAGGATAGTCAGTAGACTCTGTATAGCTGGAGCAGTGACGACCAACAAGAGAAATGTCACTAACCACTACATAAATAGATTTGTCAATATTAATAATAATAATAATAATAATAAGTTCCAATTCGCATTCATACTTACAAGTTTTAAAGGGAAAGAATTGAAATTTTTATTCATCAATAAATCTGATGATGATAATGATGAAGAAGAATAAGAAAGACTGAGATTTGACTTAGAATTATGCAGAGTTGATATTGAATCTAATGTACCAGTAGTGATTGTTGATTGAGGCATAGAATTCACGTGATGATGACGTTGTAACATTAGATTAGATGGTGGCGGTGGTGGTGGTGGTGGTATATTGAAATTTTGAGCAAATCTATTATTATTATTATGATTATTATGATTATTTTGATGATCATCAGGTGGTAAACAATGAACATTGAATGTGGATGATGATGATGATGGTAGTGAATTCATTAAGGAAGTCGGTGGTAGCATTTGATGAGTACGATCACCATTACTATTCGTCATTATACCTTGAGATGATGATGATGATGACTTCTGTTTAGAAAATGTTGAATTCGATGTAACGAATTCTCGATCAGCATAAGCAGAAGCTAATACAGCTTGAGATCGAGCAATTTGTGAATGATTCAATGACAATGAATCTGGATCTGTAGTAAAAAAGAAAAGAATACGGAAAATATTAAATTGTTTACATATATTGAGAAATAAAATGTAAAATTTGTTTGGATTTAAACTTATTACAGTACTGGATGTCAGTTTACTGGCATAGAAGGGTTAAGTGTTCGCACATGAGACAGAAGATCAAGTGTTCGATTCCTAGTTGCGGATTTATCCATGAGCACTAATTAAGGAATTCAATACTAGAATAGAACGATTGTATAACCTAGATCAGTTTATGATTTCAACGAGATTCAACAACATCTATAACCCAATACTAATCAAATTCTATATATCAAGCTACAATGTGGCCACTAGTTTAAATGACTCAACACCACGTGATCTTTGTTCAGATGTTAGATAATTGGAGGCAGTTGACCAAAAAAATGCCTAGAACAAGGATTCATCCACTCTTTGTGTTCTCTCGAATTCTAACCTTCTGAATTCGTCATAATCTCTATCTTTCTCCCTTTAAATTTATCTCACTGAATTATACTTTTCGATTCATACCTTCGCTCCCTAATCTTCTCCATTACTGCTAATACTTCTATTATCGCTATCACTCCTGGATTTGAATTGACAATTGCGTCTCTGTGCTGATGTGGTATGGCAACGTGAACTGATGTACTTACGTACGACGTTCTGCGTTGTATCTGTCTGTCTGTCTCTGTCTGCTACTTGTCAACAAGACAAATCTGCAATCTTGACAGTTAAAATCTCATAGGGAATATCAGCTCTCCAAAGATCACAAGTACACCTTGTTGACAAGCTTCAATTAGCACGAGAAACACCCAAGCCTGTGTAAACACCACTTAAAAGCATCTAATGTTTGATTTAAAATCTTATCAGTGATTAGGGTAAAGTTCAACTATATTAAAAGTAGGATAAAGATACTATCAATAAAGTATAAATGATAATCACAGAAATCAGAAATACAAATCATTGAATTTCAGTTCACTAGTTAGCAAAGCATTAAAACATACGATATGATGAAAAGACCACTATTTTTTTAAATAAATAAATGTCAGTTCTCGTGAATCTTTCTCAATTGCATTGAGAAATTAGTCAATTAGTTTTTCATAGTAAAATAGACTAGATTATTCAACATTAAGAAAACTCATTCCCCCATTACTTACTCCCAATCATTCTTATCCTGCCAAGCCGCCACCACACACCCCAACAATCACGGACACATACACAAATATACACGAAAATAAGTGGAAATAATCTTTAGGATTGATTATTAAACAAACCAAAATAAAAGAAACTATTATTTACAAGTAATACAGATGAGATTTTAACATACAAACGATGGATAATAAGTCATTAAAATAATAACATTTCTGTAAGAAAGAAACTGTTTATTTTTTCTAAGCCCTAACAACAACCACAACACATAAATCAACAACTCATACGCATACGCACACGCACACACACAGACACACACGACGTACATACATACATACACGCATACACACACATACACATGGACCATAATTTATCCACTAAAAACTAAATATTCCAGAAATTAAAAATGCTAATTTTTAAAGAAAAGGACGAGAAAATGAAGAAATGCGCTACTAAAAAAAATTAGAAAAAAAAAATTTAACAAAATACAGAAACATTTTAAAAGTTAAATAAAATAAATTTCACCAACAAAAAAAACCAAACAAAAGTTGAAGGGAAAAAAAATGAGCGGAAAGCAACAAAAAACACCAAAAACTACTACTTAAATGAAATCTACACGCAAATTATGTAAGATGATGATGGCATGGAAAGGGAAGAAAATACAAGGCAACTTCCATTGTCATTCTGTTTAACTAACAATAACAATAAGAACAGTCACAATCATAAAACGTGTGAATTATAAACCAAAATAAATATTTTTCAATCACTACAGACAAAAAAATCAATTAAGTTTTTGATATAATAAACGACAGTAAATAAACTTTGTACTAATAATCATGACTATAGTCAGATAAATTATTATAATTGATGATTTCAAATGTGTAAAAACACTAATCTCCATAACTCTAATTAAAAATATCGTAAAATGTGCTCACTAGTGTGACTAGCTTCGTGAGGAAATTCTCAGAGTTCTAGTGAGAAGACGTGAACAATGGAGTTCACCCCTGTCGAGTGTAGGCAGTAATTAACAAAGACAAATGAGTGGGGTCACGCAAAATCCCTAGATCAAGCAGAGTTAGACATTAACACCGTTGGATGCCGGCCCAGTGGTCCAGAGGTTAGGCGTTCGCACACAACGCCGAAGGTCCTGGACTCGAATCCTGCGAGGTGCAGGAGTCTTGGATGTGCACTGATGGTGAGTGCCATGCCAGGAGGAAATGGCCGTCCAGTGCTTCTAGGTTTCTAATGGCGGTCTAACAATGATTGATTGATGATTTCAGAATGTGTAAAAACACTGACCTCCATAACTCTAATTAAAAATATTATAATAGTAGCTGACATGCTCTATTTTCGAAAAAGCAAACCAATTTTTTTATATTCATTCAACTAGGTAGGTGGAATAGTTAACACACTTATAGTTTTTAAATAATGGTGTCTATAGTTTGTTACAAAACTATGATCCATTTTGGTTTCATGCAAACAATTGGTAATATTGCTAACTTGTACAAAAAATATTACAAGTTTAAAGCACGGTGTGAAGAAAAATTTTTCGAATGATTCAAATATGTTTGTAGCTTAAAAGTGAAGGGGCTGTTGTTAACTACACATATTGAAGATGTAATGTTAAAACATTTCACACCTGGTCAGTATTTTTCGTTGCAAATTTACAGAGTAATCTTCCTGCTGATAGTAGCGCTCGTGAAGAAAAATTTCTCCAAACTATGATTATTATTATTATTATTATTACTATTAGTAGTAGTGTGGTGTGAGATACTTATAAGTAATATAAGACGTGAGCGTCAACGTAATGTTTGGCAGCAGAAGATGGGGGAAGATCAAGAAAGGAAGAGTGGGGGGAACACAATGGAATTTGTATGAAACGCATGAATAGTGAGTGACAATGGATTGATGTTTTGCAACAGGAACAGTCCAGTTCGATATGATGAACTGATATTTTGCAAATGAACAATTTACGATATGGTTTTCCAATTTTACTGAGTAACTCTGTAATTTTCGTTCAATACAATTCGGTTGCCCCACCTGTGTTCTCGCTCACTACAGTAGTAGTAGTAATAATATTATGACTAACCTGAATATGAATATTTCTAATTATATGTGGTACCAGTGATTGATTGACAATCATCATAAAACAAAACACTGAACATTTAATCCTTTAAGAATTTTTTCGCATTTACACATACACAGAGAGAGAGAGAGAAAGAGCAAAGGCAAGAGATGACTCTAACACAAACACACACACACACACATAAAGTACATGCTGATAAGTCGTACAGTTTAATTATAATTTGTAACAAACAATAATGCATTCAATATAGTGGTCAATACAACAGTTTATGTTGTTAAAATAACAATGATATATGTGGGTGCACAACACATGCACACAAATGTCATTTGTTAAAAGGCATAAAACAGGAACATAATATATATACATATATATATACAAAACTGAAACGTAATAATCAGAAAAGGATGTGAAAACACAAAGATACAGAAATTAAGGAGGAGGAGGAGAAGGAAAAATTAGCAATAGTAAGCACAAGAAAGTTACAGTTTAAATCACGAACTAATCATAGATCACAGCCTGAAAACACGGAAGCATTGGATAGCCGTTTTGGCCTAGTTTAAGATTCCACAATAATGTATACACACAACCCAGAACCTTTTGTTTCGCACGTCTAGACTATCGAGCAAGTATTTAACGGTGTTAATGTTTAACTCTAATCAGCCTATCATCTTGTGCAACCCCAACTTTCACTATCGGCGGCCGATGAAAATAGTGACCATTAAAAGTTGGGTCAAGCGAAAGTGTATAGGCTTGGCGGTTACGTAACATGTCATAATAAGTACAACGCTTTCTGAGGTTATTTACTTAACTTGAGTAAGCATTATAAAATTGATTACAAGCATGTATGTATACATGACTTTAGGATTATTTCAATTGAGAGTTGGAGTTTCATAATCACAAAAAAAACAAAAGGTTACCACAATATGACAATGAGACGATTACCGCTATTAACGATTTCACAGTAAGAAGACTCGATCAACAAAAACGTGATGATATCGTATTGGATAATTCAGTAATTTATCATCAGACCTCACATGCATATATATATATATATATATATATATATATATATATATATATATACTATGCAATTCAAATCTGAGTACATAAATGTGTACTTCCTATATAAGTAAGACTATTAGTAAAATCCAAATGCTCGTTATCCCGATAGTTTGGTTCGATGGACATGGTAGAAATTGATTTAATTTATAATTCGTACTCGTTATGGATGAAATTCAGGTAGCATACCATTAAAAAAAAGGTGAAATATGGAACAATTGCTTTGTCCTAATGCATGAAATATCTCACCAGTGAACAATTAAAACCGTAACCAAATATTGTGGTGAACACCTAACCATTAGAATAACTTGGGTTGATATCTAGTAATGCCTAGATATTCCACACTAAAATACTCGTTACAAGTCAAGAAAACACTTCAGAAACATACTGAATCAAAACATCACTAATGAGTTGACTATACTATAGGGTTTACTTAAACTAATTTTTTTACAATTACAGTTATGAAGATAAGTGTTTTTACACATTCTGAAATCATCAATCACTGTTAGACCACCATTAGAAGAAACCTGGAAGCACTGAACGACTGTTTCGTCCTCGTATGGAACTCATCAGTGTCAGTGCGCATCCACAACTCCTGCACCTCGCAGGATTCGAACCCGGGACCTTCAGTATTGTGCGCGAACGCAAACTAATTTTTTTTTTTTTCAGTCATGTGTTTCTCATGAATTAATTATATATTTAAGATATTATTGTTTAAAAAAACTAACGAAATATTCATAATTGAGATTATAACATTGTATTTATTTTTTTTTGGTTCATTCATTTATTTAGCGTCGTTAACATTGCATACACGTGTATGCAATGAATATTTCATGCATTAAAAGTGTCCACATTAGAAATTTAGTAAAATAGTAAAATTAGTGTCTTGCAAATATTGTCCTCCGACTTTTTCAACTTTGTTATTATCTTCATATATTTAGTGTATTTTCTTTTTCCAAATTACAATTGCGGTTTATTACCACCGTATTTAGTGCTATGGTGGTTTTATTGCCATGTTCCTAACACTCAATTCTGTTACTTTACGATGTGATTAGCATTTTGTAAAATTACTACTACTGTAGAAAAAAAAGGCATTCATTGTATGTGTATGTTTTATGCATAAATAACCAACTAAATTTTTTTCTTGTTCAGTGTGTGATATCTAGCATTTTTCAAGTATTTTTCTTATTTACTAAGTAAATAATGAATATGAGAGTATGGATTTTCCCTGATAACTTTATTCCGATCATAAGTATATATATAACTGTTACATATTAACGTAAACATCTCAATTTGATATGCTTGAACTATTACGGGTTTACCTTAGAGTCGGAAAACGAGAGCAAGGGTCGAGAATCCAGCGACACGACATGCTACTCTAATCCGATTGTCCCAAACCCCCATTGAGTAAAAGAAGACTTGATATAAAGTAGGAGATGTATTCTACAGGCATCCAAAAAGTACAAGGTCCGAATCCAGAAGAGAATCAGGATCCCGGACGAGGGATATGCGTCAAAAAACGTTACAGATAATGCATATTTATACAGTTAGGACGACCAATGGGAAACAACATTAAAGAACGTGACAATTGATAGCTAGGACGACCATAATATTGACCAATAGGAATTGACCAACAGAATTAGACTTACAAAAATAATTCTTTTAGGATATTGGATGAATATTCCTAACAATATCATTTATGAACACGCCACTTTATCAAATAAAGCAAGAAATCAAGCTTACAAAGAAAAACGAAATTCCTAATGAAAATTATGCTTGTATAGTAATATATATCATTCCATAAAAACGCTTGAAATCAAATGAAACAATCACGTTGAGACAGAGAGAGAGAGAGAGTACAGATATATCAGTCATTTTGTTCATCTAGTGTAATCATTACATATATATATATCAGCAACCAAAATAACGAAACTTATTTACCTTAATATATTTGTATTTACGTCACAATACAGTGATTACACTTAATGATATTCATTAAAGATAACATAACAGGCAGGATGAAGCAAGCGGTATGTAAATCTATAATTTCATCGATTACTAACTAATAATACTGATTAAAAGACAAGTTATTATTATCATTATTATTTGTCTAAATATTAACTATTCAACTCTTATCATTTGTTATCTGGTTATTTGGTTATTTTTAATCTAAAACGAAAAAAAAAACTTTCAACGAAAGTAGGTCAAAGATATAATTTAAAAAAAATAAGAAGCTAAGATTGTTATTATCGAAAATTTATTTAAATCTATACTTAACACACAAGAATATAAGAGAAGTTTGCAATTTCCCCCCAATCAATAAAATCCAACAAAAGAAGTGGAGTAAATCTTGTTACTCACATCAAATAATCATAAAGCATTTCTAAACAACCAGTCTAACACTCATTTCATATGAATGAAGTCAGTAAGGTGTCAGATTTATATCAGTCAATGTATACTACATACTTTTTCACTTGAATCATCTATTGAAGACAGATATTTATCGTTAGTATAAGGGGAGATTAGGTGGAGATCAGAGATGCTTTGTAGTTTTTAAATATACACAAACTAATCTTTGTTGAATCACAATCTAAAGACTTAAAAGGACTAGATGGGTTGTCTCGTCCTAGTATTGGACTCCTCAACAGTAGTCAACCATGATCCCGAACCAGAGAATTAAACATAGTATATTCGGTGTGGCACAAGAACGCTTAAACTCTACATCATCGAGCCAGGATCCAACAGTGTTAATGTCTAACTTCAATCAATAGACTACGCTGCACAACTCTTATCTATTGTATTGTAAATGGATTTAAGTTAAACACTGACACCTTTAGATGTCTATTATGGTTTAGAGTGGGTCAAGGTCCTGAATTTGCAATCTCGGATGCAAGGTCGCAGATATGAACTTTTGAGGAGTCCAACAGCCATTTACTGCCCCTAAGTTTTTTAAAAATACTCTAGCTAAGATTAGTCTGTCATCTAAAAACTATGAAACACATATTCATTGGAATTTTCCAATTCTAAGACTGCTTGAAGCCGTTTAGGTATAGGCTTTTCATGGGATGTTTTTAAAGTGTTAGCTCCGCTTTTCAAAAAGCCTTACCGCTGGAGACAGAAATCCGTCGGGTAAAGTGAAGTGTGACATTTTTAGGGACAACCTTTCCTAACCACTTCCTTCCGTTGTAAGAAGGCAGTATCACTGCAGATTCTGGTTGTCCGAAGGAAACAAACACTTTACTGCTGTGATTTATTATTTGGCAGTATGAATTGTAATAGTCGAGACAGAGGATTAGAACATGAGACAGGTTACAGGTTGAAAACGAAATGCTTTAATCACTGAACCACTGAACTAATATTTAGAATCGATGAAAAATTCCTACAGTAGGCTTCAAAAGTGTGTTGTATAGAAATGGCGATGTATTTTAACGCCGATTCTACTAAGAATTTGTATAATAATCAATAGACAGACAGATACAACGCAGAACTTCGTACATAATAAGTACATCAGTCCAGGTTGCCATACTACATCAACACATAGATGCAACTGTCAGTTCAAATCCAACAGTGATAGCAATAATAGAAGTATTAGCAGTAATGGAGAAGATTAGGGAGTGAAGATATGATTCGAAAAGTATAATTCAGTGAGATAAATTTAGAAGGAGAAAGATAGAGATTATGAGGAATTCAGAAGGTTAGAGTTTGAGAGAACACAAAGAGTGGATGAACCTACGCCATTGCAAACGATTCTCAGCCATGTCATTCAAGGTCTCTCTGACCATCGGTGACTATCGTCTCGCGGACACCGACCAGGTAGTCTACATCTACCAACATGACTCAGTCCGCCTGTCAGTGACTTCATGGATTTGTGCCATGTTTTGGTTTGGCCGCCCTTAGCATTCTTCCAATCTACTCCTTCATTGCAAAACATAGCTCGTCGCGGCAGTCGGTGGTTAGGCATAGGTAACACATGTCCCAACCACCTCAACTGATCGAAGTTTCACTACTTCACCTATTGATTTGCCGTCCTTACCTAGAACTCGTATCCTAACGACAATAATAATCGATAAGAGATGCATCTTAGATAATCTTTCTGGAAAATACTTATTATATTAATCATTGGATATGATAATGTCTTTTGCTCAGATAGAATAAACAACGTATATATATATATATATATATATATACAGATGAAGCAACAGAAAATGTTAATACTTTTCCACATATATGAAGTGTGTAAACAGATCGATAAGATTTTTCTTTTCAATAAAAAAAATAAGAAACACCGCAAGTGGAAGCGCATATTATTTGAATAAAGAGAATGCGGCGACTAAAATAAAATCAAACATAAATACTTGTAAAAATACTTATTTTTTTTAAAAATGAACAACACATACGTAAAACATTAAAATGAAAAAATAAATTCAAGTCTAGAATTTTTTTTTAATTTCGTATACAAAAAATTTATTATAAGGTTTCTTGTAACTAGTGAATATGTAAGTAAAATACACGACAAAATTATGACTATTAGTAATAATAATAATAATAATAATAATAATAATAATGATAATCAGAAGAAGAATTTCACTTACTTGATTGATGAGCAGAACAATTTATGCATGAATTAGATGTGGTGATATGTGCCAATGATGGAATAGTGCCAGAAACTAGAGGAAGTCGATTAGTACCAGGCATTGTTATATTACCACCACCATATGGATATAATTTGCTTTGAATACTGGATAACGTTGAAATAATAAATACATAATGGAGAGAAGAAACAAAAACACAATGTAGGAAAAATAACAATCAATAATTGAAATTGTTAAAGGATATCAACACGAACGGAATATAATATAATATAATAAATTTAAACAATAATTTATTTTGTTTGTTTCGCGAGTATTGTCATTAAGATAGACAGAGAGATAGACAGATATAACACAGAACTTCGTACGTAAGTACATCAGTTCAGGCTGCCATACCACATCAGCACAGAGACGTAACTGTCAGTTCAAATCCAACAGTGATCGTGATATTGAAAGTATCAGCAGCAATGGAGAAGATGAGAGAGCGAAGATATAATTCGAAAAGTATAATTCAGTGAGATAAAGTTATAAAGAGAAAGATAAAGATGGGGGGGGGGGAATGCAGAAGGTTAGAATTTCATAGAACACAAAGAGTGGATGAACTTACGCCATTGCAAACGATTCTGAGCCATGTCATTCAAGGTCTCTCTAACCATCGGTGACTATCGTCTCGCCGACCCCAACCAGGTAGTCTAGATCTGCTAACATGACTCAGTCCACTTGTCAGTGACTTCATGGATTTCTGCCATGTTTTGGTTTGGCCGCCCCTAACTTTCTTCCAACCTACTCCTACAGTGCAAAACATAGCTCGTTGCGGCAGTCGGTGGTTAGTCATACGTAACACATGTTCCAACCACCTCAACTGATGAAGTTTCACTTCATTAAAACAAACTGGTACAGACTTCATTTAATATATTTAAAAACAGAACAGAGAAAATCTTCAAGATAACAGTATTATATATATTACTATATGGTTTGCTTTGTTTAGCTGCTCTTTTAAAAATCTTCGACATAATGTATAATTAACACAATACAAGATTTATCTCAAGGTCATCTCAAGGTCATTTCGGAGTAATCAAGATAAATTTATGACAAAGAATTGTCATTCAATGGTTCATAGTTATGAAAGCTTCCAACCTTAATGTTCGTTGAATCATTTCAGTAGGTTGAAACTTTTTCCTCATTTACTAGTAGCTTTGAAATGAACTTACAATCAATCAGCCTGGTGATCTGTCGCAGAGTTCTTTGAAAACAATTTTGTACTAGAAAATAGGTAGAGTTGAGGTACATGGTGGCCAGCAACGTATGATAAACATCCTAAACAATTCAAGTTGTGTAGACCCCAACCAGGTAGTCTGCATCTACCGAAATGACTCAAGTCAACAGTTTAATTATTACTTTGTTTGAGTATTAATGATACTACCGAAATATGAAACTGAATTAAATGAATTTGTGACTTACTGATCAAAGGCATAAAATTTTAACCATTTATATACACAAACAAATTCAAAAGAATAAATGTTAGTGAGGAATAGAGGTTAGCAAACATACAGACTGCATTCAGTACGTTTTCATAGTGTAGAATAAAACTTCATACACCCAAGCCATCGTCTTTATTTAGACTGATAACTATGTCGTCAAGTATGGAGGTTTTAAATTTTTCGTCAAGTGAACGTTTCCTATCTGTCTCTTTTGACAAGCCTTAAACATTTTGTCAATGCGTATCTCCCACACACACACACACACACACACACACACACACACACACACACACACACACACACACACACACACACACACACACACACACACACACACACACACACACACGCAAAACCTCAAAAAATATCGAAAAGGATAGATAATGAGTGGATATGAGGAAATACAATCTCTACACACAGACACGCATACACGAAAAAACACAATGTTACGTAACATTGTGTTTTTTCGTGTATGTGTGTCTGTGTGTAGAGATTGTATTTCCTCATATCCACTCATTATCTATCCTTTTCGATATTTTTTGAGGTTTTGCGTGTGTGTGTGTGTGTGCGTGTGTGTGTGTGTGTGTGTGTGTGTGTGTGTGTGTGTGTGTGTGTGTGTGTGTGTGTGTGTGTGTGTGTGGGAGATACGCATTGACAAAATGTTTAAGGCTTGTCAAAAGAGACAGATAGGAAACGTTCACTTGACGAAAAATTTAAAACCTCCATACTTGACGACATAGTTATCAGTCTAAATAAAGACGATGGCTTGGGTGTATGAAGTTTTATTCTACACTATGAAAACGTACTGAATGCAGTCTGTATGTTTGCTAACCTCTATTCCTCACTAACATTTATTCTTTTGAATTTGTTTGTGTATATAAATGGTTAAAATTTTATGCCTTTGATCAGTAAGTCACAAATTCATTTAATTCAGTTTCATATTTCGGTAGTATCATTAATACTCAAACAAAGTAATAATTAAACTGTTGACTTGAGTCATTTCGGTAGATGCAGACTACCTGGTTGGGGTCTACACAACTTGAATTGTTTAGGATGTTTATCATACGTTGCTGGCCACCATGTACCTCAACTCTACCTATTTTCTAGTACAAAATTGTTTTCAAAGAACTCTGCGACAGATCACCAGGCTGACTGATTGTAAGTTCATTTCAAAGCTACTAGTAAATGAGGAAAAAGTTTCAACCTACTGAAATGATTCAACGAACATTAAGGTTGGAAGCTTTCATAACTATGAACCATTGAATGACAATTCTTTGTCATAAATTTATCTTGATTACTCCGAAATGACCTTGAGATGACCTTGAGATAAATCTTGTATTGTGTTAATTATACATTATGTCGAAGATTTTTAAAAGAGCAGCTAAACAAAGCAAACCATATAGTAATATATATAATACTGTTATCTTGAAGATTTTCTCTGTTCTGTTTTTAAATATATTAAATGAAGTCTGTACCAGTTTGTTTTAATGAAGTGAAACTTCATCAGTTGAGGTGGTTGGAACATGTGTTACGTATGACTAACCACCGACTGCCGCAACGAGCTATGTTTTGCACTGTAGGAGTAGGTTGGAAGAAAGTTAGGGGCGGCCAAACCAAAACATGGCAGAAATCCATGAAGTCACTGACAAGTGGACTGAGTCATGTTAGCAGATCTAGACTACCTGGTTGGGGTCGGCGAGACGATAGTCACCGATGGTTAGAGAGACCTTGAATGACATGGCTCAGAATCGTTTGCAATGGCGTAAGTTCATCCACTCTTTGTGTTCTATGAAATTCTAACCTTCTGCATTCCCCCCCCCCATCTTTATCTTTCTCTTTATAACTTTATCTCACTGAATTATACTTTTCGAATTATATCTTCGCTCCCTAAACTTATCCATTGCTGCTAATACTTTCAATATCACGATCACTGTTGGATTTGAACTGACAGTTACGTCTCTGTGCTGATGTAGTATGGTATGGCAACGTGAACTGATGTACTTACGTACGAAGTTCTGTGTTATATCTGTCTATCTCTCTGTCTATCTTAATGACAATACTCGCGAAACAAACAAAATAAATTATTGTTTAAATTTATTATATTATATTATATTCCGTTCGTGTTGATATCCTTTAACAATTTCAATTATTGATTGTTATTTTTCCTACATTGTGTTTTTGTTTCTTCTCTCCATTATGTATTTATTATTTCAACGTTATCCAGTATTCAAAGCAAATTATATCCATATGTTGGTGGTAATATAACAATGCCTGGTACTAATCGACTTCCTCTAGTTTCTGGCGCTATTCCATCATTGGCACATATCACCACATCTAATTCATGCATAAATCGTTCTGCTCATCAATCAAGTAAGTGAAATTCTTCTTCTGATTATTATTATTACTATTACTGATAGTCACAATTTTGTCGTTTATTTTACTTACATATTCACTAGTTACAAGAAACCTTATAACAAATTTTTTGTATACGAAATGAAAAAAAAAATTCTAGACTTGAATTTATTTTTTTCATTTTAATGTTTTACGTATGTGTTGTTCATTTTTTAGAAAAAAAATAAGTATTTTTACAAGTATTTATGTTTGATTTATTTTAGTCGCCGCATTCTCTTTATTCAAATAATATGCGCTTCCACTTGCGTTGTTTCTTATTTTTTTTTATTGAAAAAAAAATCTTATCGATCTGTTTACATACTTCATATATATGTGAAAAAGTATTAACATTTTCTCTTACTTCATCTGTATATACATATATATATATATATATATATATATATATACGTTGTTTATTCTATCTGAGCAAAAGACATTATCATATCCAATGATTAATGTAATAAGTATTTTCCAGAAAGAGTATCTAAGATGCATCTTTTATTGATTATTATACAAATTCTTAGTAGAATCGACGTTTAAACTTTTCAAATACAGCGTCATTTCTATACAACACACTTTTAAAGCCTACTGTAGGAGTTACACATTTTTGAAACCATGAACCGATCAATGTTAGACCACCATTAGAAACCTGGAAGCACTGGACGGCCGTTTCGTTCTGGTATGGGACTCCTCAGCGTTCGCGCACAATACCGAAGGTCCTGGGTTCGAATCCTGCGGGGTGCAGGAGTCGTGGGTGCGCACTGCTGAGGAGTCCCATACCAGAACGAAACGGCCGTCCAGTGCTTCCAGGTTTCTAATGGTGGTCTGACATTGATCGGTTCATGGTTTCAAAAATGTGTAACTTAACAAGCTTCACAACCCCGTAATACTGTAGGAGTGTTTCATTGATTTTAAATAATCGTGTACAAAGTATATTGATTCAATAGTTAAAGCATTTCGTTTTCAACATGTAAGCTGTCTTAAGTTCGAATTGCCTATCTCGACTATTTCAATTTACACTGCCAAATAGTAAATCACAGCAGTAAAGTGTTTATTTCCCTCGGACAACCAGAATCTGCAATGATACTGTCTTTTCACAACGGAAAGAAGTGGTTAGGAGAGGTCGTCCCTAAAAATGTCACACTTCACTTTACCCGACGGATTTCTTTCTCCAGCGAAAAGGCTTTTTGAAGAGCGGAGCTAACACTTTAGAAATATCCCATGGAAAGCCTATACCTAAACTGCCTCAAGCAGTCTTAGAATTGGAAAATTCCAAT